TTGAAAGATGGATTTAAAAATCATTACTAAGGGGTGCCTGTGTGGCTCAGTGTGGCTCTGCCTTTGGCTCAGGTCATGATCTCAGGGTCCTGGGATTGAGTCCCACATTGGACTCTCTGCTTGGCAGGGAGCCTGCTTCCTCCTCTCTCTGCCTGCCTCTCTGCCTACTTGTGATTTCTCTCTGTCAAATAAATAAATAAAATATTAAAAAAAAATAAAAATCACTACTAACAACAAATTTTTATGTTAGCAAATTTTCACCAAGTCCCTATCTGCATAACTTGGGTTGAAGACACCTATGTCCCAGGAGCCCCCTGACTCCTACAGAATAAAGCTTGGGATAAGTGACAGCATCTTGAACTCAAAGATAGGAGGAAACCCAGAAACAGGGAGAGAATGAGTGCATCTGTGAGCACTGGTCCAGAACAGGCAGGTTGAGGGGCTGGACTGTCAACGGAGCGAAATCTCAATTACAGAGTAATCTAACGTACACCCAGGTACATTATTGCAACTCAATAAACAGCTCTTCAGAATTAAGTAATTCCAATTTGCTTTCATTTTGATCTGTGTCGCCCCGAGAATTTGATATTACCCACACTCAAATTACAAGGCATCTTCGAAAGCACTGATGCTCACAGTCCCGGGAAAGCACATGAACCACAAGCCAGCCAGGCATAAACACACCGACTAAGACAGAGACGTTGCTTGGTGTGGCAGCAGCACCTGCTACGGATACCATCAGAGGGGCCTCCATCCAGCTCCTGGCACCCCTGGGGCACTGAGGGGCCCTGCGACATCCCAGCCCCAGTTTCTGAAGGGATGATGCCACGTGGTCAGACGGCTGAGCCCAAGAAGAACCAGCTAACGTCTCCTTGGCTCCCAGATTCCTGACTCATCAGTGGTGGATTCCGGGGGGCGACCCAGGGAGTCTGACCTAGCATGGACCCCATGACCCAAACTTCCCAAGCCCACATGTTGACGCCCACTTTTATATCTCCTCCCTCCCTTTCCCTATGCTTGGCACTGGACTGTATGGGGAGAGACCACCAGTGGCCCTCTGCAGAGGAGGCCCACCCACCCAGCCCCTCACCATCTCTTACCTCCTTACCTGGGAAATCCCACCAACCTCCGCAAGTTATTTTTTTAACAAATGCTTCTAGGGCAATGGGCCAAGCCCCTCTCTAAGAACGTCTACACACACTGTCTCCTTGAATCCTCAGGACACATACCACTTTAAGGTAGAGAATCCTACATTCCCATTTCCAGATGAGCCAGCTGACGCTGGAAGAGGGTGATGTTCAAAGTCACAGAGCTGGGACGAGATGGGGTCAGGATTTCAATTGATGGACTGGGGCTCTAGAGTTCTTTTCTGTCTCTGAATTGGAATGAAGTAAAGAAAATCTGGGGAAGAAAAACCTGCCTAGGGGTGGTTTTCCTTCCATGACACACCCAGGTCACCTGCCTGCCCCCACCCGCCCCCAGGGCATTTGTGTGGTGTGAACCAGGAACTAGGAACTCAGTTTGGGAGCAACGCCATCCCCTGGGAGAAGACTTAGCCCTTGAGAATATGTTTGTTTTGTTTTCTCAAGGCTTCTCCATTCCCTGAAAGAAGGAAGATTTATGTTTATTCCTTGTTGTTCTTTTTTTTCCTTTCCTATCCCCCCCCCCAAACGTAAATATTTCAGTTCTAAAGTATGTAACCATCCTGCTAAGTCATGGTAAGGGGCTCTAAGAGGCCAGTGAGTCATTCTTCATAAGACACTTGCCCCCAAATGCTCTGGTTTGCTGCCTTCCCATGGGTTCCTGGCAGACATCCAGGGTGACCAGCTTCCTCTGATCAGGCTCCTGCTAATTCCTGCTGCTCTGGGTGTACCCGGCCTTTCATTATCTTACTTGGCTTGGTTACCACTAGCTATGTAAGGGTGTGTGTGTGTGTGTGTGTGTGTGTAAAAAGGGTAAGTTCATTTCTCTGAGAGCATGGAAAGTAGGAAACCCTCCATTCCAGAGAGGTGGGGACCAACGACAGAAGAAGCAGGAGTTAAAAGGGCAAATTAGCCACAGGTCCAGAGACGTGTCATGAGCTCTGTGTGCAGGCTAGACCCTTTCAACACTGTTTATAACATCATGATAGAAGGTGCCAACAAGGCGCCAACCCTCAGGCCCTCCAGCTACGGCTGAAATAGCAGAAGGAAGCCCCAGGCCGGACCCCGGCTCTGACCCTAAGGATGGTTTCTCAGCCTGGCTGTGGTTGTGCTCCCCGCTGTGAAATGAATTAAAATACACCCGAAGTGCAGCGCCACAACTAGAGGACTACACGAGACCACGGATGGGAAGGGACTTCCACATTCAAGGGGCCCAGCTCCTAGCTTGCCACCTAAAAGGAGGCAAAAATCGTCACCAAAAAAAGTCCCATCACATAAAGGATTTCATCGAGGTGTAATAAACAGGGACCAGGTCACAGGGAGCACACACCATGAAGGAGACCTCCGAAGGTGGCCAGCCAGCGCATCACCCAGCATGGACCAGCGAGGGCTGCAGGAGAAGGCACTGGGCACAGCTGTGGCTCTGGGATTATAGTAGCACATGTGACCAGTGCACTGCTCACCCCCAGCCCGAACCCCAGCCCAGGGGGCACAGTACACAAAGGATAAACCACTGTCTCAACAAACCCCGGCCACCCTCCAAACAAAGGGCATGATGTTTCCCCATGGAAATCGCATCCTCTATCCCAAAGGCCTCCAGATCTGGTGGTGTCCCCCACCTCCTCCTTGTCCTCAATGAGGGATATAAAGGGAGAATAAACCCAGCACCTTCTGGTTCCATCGGTGTGTGTGGAAAGATCAAAACGCTCCAGCAGCGGCCATGGTCACTCAACCCATTATCTCCTTACCAGCCTCGTGCCGGGCACCTGCATGGTACGGGCGAGCCCGGGGAGGGCATGAGTGGACACAGCCCATCCTCTGGTGGGCTCCCACTCCAGCGTGCAAGGTTGCCATGGAAGAGGTCCAAAGAACTTCCAGAGGGGCAGCTCCGGAAGTTACAGAGCCACTGAGTGCCGCGAGGCCTGCAAAAGGCCGCCGTGTCATGAGAATCAATCTCACAGCACCAAAAAAGCATATATATGAGGCTAATGTGCCTGAAATGATGGTTTCATGTATATATTAATGGCATTCAATGTAAATGATTTTAAGATTTTTTTTCCCCTGTTGGTTGTTTTGTTCATGACTGCCTAATTTGTTGATCTTCAGCTTAAGTGTTCATGGCATTATGGAGACGAAATGAGTTCCTGCTGAGGCCAATAATTCATTCCCTCATCCATCATTCAACAAGTATTTTAAGGCTGAGCCTTGTGAAATGACCAATTGCACAGGTCCAAACAGCCAAACGCCGGTAGGTTCGTATTTGGGCGTGCTCCAGCCTCGTGCCAAGCACTTGGCTAAGCCTGGGGGAAGTTGTGAACCATGAACCAAACAACAACAACAAAATGTTCCTATTCTCGCCACACTCAGGTTCTAAAGGACAAGATGGAAAATTACCAAGAGCACGAATAAAGGAAAAACATAATTTTGAAGCATGATAAGTGCTATGTAGAACAAGGGACAAGGTGACCTGCTAGAAGGCACCCAGCTGGTGTGGGGGCTGAGGACATCCTCTCGGAGGAGAATGGCATGACAACACTCAAGCTGAGACCTGACTGATGGCATGTGACCATCCACCCCGAGTCAGGCCAGCCCAGGAGGGAGAGTCTCAGATCACAGCTCCCAGCCTAACTTCAGACAGGGCTACCAACTAGAGGTCAAGGGACCAGCAACTAGGGGTCAAGGCCCTCACACCAACTGGTCTTTGACCAAGGAAACAAACTCAGGAGACTTCCGGGGGGGGGGGGGGGGGGGCAGAAGGGGGTCGATCCATGTTTTCACCTTTAAACACACTGGCTAACATTCCACAGCTAACATGAGATGAATAGCTTCATTATTTCGTTCACCAAATTACACTATATTAAAATTTTAATTGGTGAACATGACGCTGGAAAATGAGTACGTCTACACACTGCAGTTTTCCAGTATAAACTGTCAAACCCCCTCCCCCCTTTTTTTTTTGCAAAACCAATATTGCAATACAAAGAAAAATCCATAAAGATGCTCATATTCTTTGGCCTACCAACTCTACCCCTAGGGAATTTATCCAAGGCAATAATCTGGTTCAATAGAATAAAAATGTTCTCTTTGGAAGAACCCCATTGAGGTGTTAATTGGTGCACAGAGGAAAGATAAAACAAAAACAGAAACACCTGGAATTACATAAATGACTACAAATGGGGAGATTTTAAGAAATGGGGTGATTCACTTGATGAAACAATATATAACCATTAAGCATTACAACAAAGATTATATAGACTTTCAGAAATAAATGGGAGCTCCAGCTCCTTGGAAGGAGCAGAGAAGGCAGCAATGTGCATATTTTAATGTAAAGTGTGTCGACAATACCTCAAGGTGAACAAGAACAAGAAAATTGTAAAGAATTGAATCAAGGCCAAGGGGGGTGGGGGGGCATTTATTTCAAAAGTCCTTCCAAAATATTGTTATTAAATCAAGTTTTCAGTTAAAAAAAAGAAAATCCCTCAGAAACAATTGTACTCTCCGAACACAGCAGTAGACCACCACCGAAACACAAGGATGTTGGCTCATTCAAATTTTAAACACAAAATAAAGCCAAATCTGGAGACGCCTTCTGTGTTGTATACCCCAGAGGCTTGCACAGGTGAGCCCTATAGTAAGACTGAACCTGGACTAGACATGCAACGTGCATGATTTTACAGAGACCCCGCCCCTTTCTCTGCAGGGTGGGTGTGGGGGACTGGAAATGGCTTGTCTCTGGACTGACAGGGAGGAGGGAGGAGGAGGAACAGCAGTAGAGAGGAGGCCCCTGGATTCCTCTCACCCTCTGAGGATGGGGCCGAGGCAAGTGGCAAAACCAGCCCCATGGGAGGGGCCACTCACCTTTCACGATGAGCTCCGCGTAGTTGGACACGCCGGACCCACCGTCGGAACGGATCACACAGCGGTATTTGCTCACACTCCGCTGGGCAGTGTCGGCCACGCTGACCGTGGCTGAAAAGCGTCGGTGGTTGACCACACGGGTGACCATGAGGGCCGTGTCCCTGCCGTTCCACTGCTGCAGGACAGAGGGAGGGAGGGGGAGGAGAAATCACATCATCCTATGGGCCCCCAGGGGCCGGGAGCTTCCCCCAGCTCGGAAGCTCCACCTGTCCCCATGTCCCCAGGGCCATGGCTTTCCATAAGAAGGACTGTCCAGGGCTGGCTTCTGCAAGTGATCGGACTAAAGTATAAATTTGCTCGTGAGCTGATTCGGGAGGGGAGTGCCTGATGGCAAGGAGAGAAGGCACAGGCTTCCTCCCAATACCGTGGTTCCTCGCTTGGCTTGAGCTTGAGGCTGGCATTTGGCTCTGAGCCTTCTTCCCATCTTCCTTCATCTCTTAAGCAGAACCCACAAGGTTCCCCCAAAGACAGACTCAGATAGGCTACTGAAAATATAACCCATGAAATGACAATAAACAGCCCGGCCCCTAGCTCCACAGCTAGGGCCGTGATACCCCACCCACAGGCCGAGTCCACTCCACAGGGACCCATCTGTCCCCAGGTACTTCCCAGCACCTCTTCTCCTTGGCATTTGCTTTTTCCTTGACCTAGAACCTCCTCCTGTCTGCCTGGGGACAGTCCTTCACCCTTAAGAACTCACGCTCAGCACATTGCCATCTCTAGTAAGTTGGCCTGTCACAGCACCTTCTAGAAGCTCTTCACTCTCTAGTGGTTTTCTTGTTGTCATTTTGGGGGTTTTTTGGCCTACACGTTTCCCCCTGTAGACTAGACTCAGAGCTCCCCGAGAGCAACCTTTAGCCCCTTTGTATCTCCGGCACTGTGCCCAGCTTCCAGACTTGGAAAACATTTGTGGAATCAAGGTGAATTCACAAGTGTTTCTATCTGTGCTGTGCTGACTCTCAGGTGTGATATTCTGAGTTTGAATAAGCCCCTCCCATAGCAGGGCTGAGTTGCCACGACTGGAAGGCACGTGCCAGAGGATGCAGTATGAGGGACTATTTCTTAAGCACCTTCTAAGCGCCAGACCCTGAATCTCCTTTTTAATCCTCCCAGCCTTGTTTGAGCTATTACTGCTCTTCTTAGCAGAATCCAAATGTCAGCGTGGCTCAGTAAATATGCAGACCAAGGAAGCCCCTTATCCAGCCTTTCCGACTTTGGGTCGACCACCTTCTCACTGAGACCCTATCCTCCCTGCCTTTATTTTGTTTCCAAAAGTAAAACTGAGCCGCTTCCATCATCTGCTTGGATTTGGGGAAACCTTAGGATTTAGCAGCTTCCCCACACCTGGAAGCTTCCAAGATGCGATCTTCATCCCTTCCTGTCCACGGCAAACACCTCCAGCACACACACGACCTGCTTCCACCCATCCACGCGCCCATCAGTGACAGGTCGGGACTGGGACATGAGAAGGGGCACAGCTACTGTGCTCAGCTGCCCCCAAGCAAATGAGATGGAACAGCAGAAGAGGGAAGGGAGCAGACACCCAAGAAGCACAGAGAAGCCAAGGCCTCTGTGTGACTTGCTCCAGATGGGACGGGGAGATCAGAGGGGATGGATTTCTTCTTCTTACTTTTTGGCATTCTCTAGACTTTCAAACACTGCTTTTATACTTGAAAAGAATAAAGGAAATAAAGGAAAGGCCTATTTGATTTGAATGCAGGCCATCGGGTATCAGCCCTTGGCCCAAAGACACCACATGTTGCTCTAATGTGGGGTAACGACTCCCCAACCCTCACCTCCTCTAGCACACTCATTCCCACATGTGGAAGAGAGTGGTTAACGGGTGTGGCTAAGATCTACCTATGTGTCACCAATGTCTTAGCTGAGGACCAAAAAAGAAAAAAAAAAAAAAAAAGGCAAAGACGAGGTAGAGGGGGAAATAAGCAAAAATGCCTACGTCCCGGCCAGACGACAGCCCATGACACATTTTCCTCAGACCTCCAGAGCTTTGAACAACCAAGAAATGTGGGAGACAAGAAAGACACCGAGCACGGTACCAGCACATGAACTGTAAAGAGCACCTGCTAAGAGGTGAGTGGATATGGACAAGTACAAAGGAAGAAAATAAACCCCAGAAGAATTATGGGAAACAAACAAGGGCACCATTTGCAGGATTCCGAATGGCACCATAAGTGAATCACAGAATCAACACTGCAGGAAAGCACTGGCCAGGGCCAAGAGGCTTGAGAAAATAACCCAGATCGCCAGGAAGGCACTGACAAAAGGGCAGGAGGAAGGCAAACTGAGGAAGAAAACAGAGATCAGACGACGTACCGGATGAGTAACTGGTTCACCGGATGATGGGAACTCGGGGAATGGAACACAAATCCTGACCCAAGTTACGTGAGCTCACTTGCCTGGATGAAAACAAAACCTAACTCCTCGGACTGCCATGGCCTACCGTTCACGTGACAAAATTTATGAGAACCATAACCATCGAGGTATGTGTTTTATCTCACAAACATATTGGACATTAGGAAAAAGAAGTACTTAAAAATTCAGGCAGAAAAAAAAAAAAAAAAACCAACGTGCTAATAAAAAAATAAAGCAATCTGGCATAAAACGCTTCATCTGTTACTGCTTCCAGAGCCCAGACCACCTCTCTCGGATGTGGCTGGTCCCCACATCCGCACAGTGGAGCTCCCAGGAGACTGCACACTTGAGAGAGGTCAGGGTGGGAGCCAGGGCAAGATGGGACAGGAAATGATAATAAACAAATGCACACAAATGCCCAGTATGTTCAGCCTTGGACCCTGGTTTCATTTCTCTCTGCTTTGGTTTCCTTACACCTCTAATGGATGTGCCCACTTTGTGATGTCCTCCTAATGCATCAACAGGAAGGAGTAACAAACCGTTTAACCCACGATGGCGCATTCTGGTGTGAGCTGAGCTCTCCAAATTAACCACGAAACTAACCATGAAAAGTGGGGTAGGGATGACAGCCCCCCACAATGTCCATGGGCTAGTCCCTGCAACCTGGGAATACGTCACCTTCCATGGAAAAAGGGAATTTGAAGATGTTGATTAAGCTCAGGATCTGGAGATCTGAGGATGATCCTGGATGACACAGGGTGGGCCCCATGTAATCACAACGAGCCTCGCATGAGAGCAAGGGAGGAGGGTCAGAGCCAGAGACAGGACATGTGGAGACAGAAGCAGAGGTCAGAGTGACATGACTGATGGCTTGAAGATGGAAGAAGAAGCAAGAACCAAAGAATGCAGACAGCTTCCAGAAGCTGGGAAAGTTAAGAGCGAATTCTCTGCTAGAGCCTCTAGAAGAAATGCAGCCTGGCCAACACCTTGATCTAACCCTGTAATACTCATTTCTGACCTCTGATCCCCACACCGCAAGGTAATAAATTTGTGTCGTTTTAGCCACTAAGTCTAATTTGTTACATCAGCCATAAGAAACTAACAAACAGCAAAGAACCAGTTAAGTGCAAAACCTTCATTTTTCACACTTAGTTTCAATTTTATTGGGCACCTGGGTGGCTCAGTCAGTTAAGCATCTGCCTTCAGCTCAGATCATGATCCCAGGGTCCTGGGATCGAGTCCTGCATCGGGTTCCCTGCTGAGCCGGGGAGCCTGCTTCTCCCTCTCCATCTCCCACTCTCCCTCTCTGTTAAATAAATAAATTATTTTAAAAAAATTTATTTTGATGTGACCTCCAGTATTATTTGCTTTTCTTCATAATGATGTCACATTCCAGAACAACCAGAGAGGACTAATGCATCTCCCTGAACCATTCACATTTTTCTCTTTAGTCCCTGAACCACCAAGCTTTCTCCCATCAAAGGATAGGAAATTGCAGGTTGTCTTATAAAATCTCTGGAAAATAGGCCTTTTGATAATCACACTTGTCATATTGGGAGCAGGCAACAGCAGGACAGGAACGGGCAGGAGAGACGAGAGCCATGGTAGGAAATGGCACTGCAATGGACCCCCGGCAAGGAGAAATGAAGGTTAAGTTAGAGAGATGAGCCCAGACAGAAGGGGAAGTAGGTGCTGAAGGTAAAGACAAATGAGCAGCCACCGAGGACCTGAGATCAAGGGAGATCCTAGGAAACCAGGCACAGCGACGGGCTCAGCTACCAGAACGCCGTGGCAATGTGGAGAAGGGATTTAAGTAGAGGGACTGTGTAATAAGCAGCACAGGTTCCAACCATGGTCTCAGACCCATACACAGGTAGGAAGGAAAATGCAAGGGGAGAAAACAAATGGAGGTTTCATCAAGCAGAAACAGAGTCATGAAATTCAGGCTCACAGGCAACTGAGCAGGTTTGAGTGGGCACAGGGAGGGGTAGAGCAGGCAGGGTGCTGGGAGCCGGAAATGGACCACAGCCCAGAGACTCGGTGGAAAAGTAAATCCTCGCAAGCAAGATGCCAGGTGCCACGTACATGCATGGGGATACAAACGCTGGGATGCTGGGAAAGAGAAGGACAGCAAAGAGAAGTCAAAATCTTGGGGAAAGCCAGACAGAAGCATGACATGGATAATGCGTATGGAAGCCTGCGGAAGGATCTATCAGGCTCCCGAGTCACCAGTCCTGCACGCTGGAAATTTTCTTTTGGTGCCTGTAGAATTTTTTCACGTATAAGTATATCCTTCCTCTGAAATTTCAGGCATAGTTCCTTTCTTCTTTCAGACCTACATCTGTTATGCTAAAATGGAGTCATCTTCTAGTCCCTCTGTGTCGGGGGCAAACTGGAGAAATTTCCCAGTGGGCACCGATAGAGCCGGGCTCCCCAGAAGCAGAGCCTGAGACATGGGAACCTACCAAGTGCCCTCAGGAAAAAGGGGATGAAGGAGCCACTGAGGAGTGATGTGGTCGAAACACTCCAGCTTCAGCCTGACTCCCCAGGACCTAGGGAGCCTGAAGTGTACCAGAGCTGATCCCAGCTTGAGGCCAGGAGCCAGCGCCGGTACCCCATATCAGCCAGTTGCTGGCCATGGCCTGCCCGGTGGGGAAAGAAGGAAACCATTCCTATTTGCCCCAAAGCAGTTTGCCGGGGAAGGGGAGATGGGAGCCATTAGCAGCCAACTGCACAGTGCCT